AGGTGGAAGTATAATATAGGGTGTAAAGTGCGAAAGTGATGGTGGGGTAAGAGGTACGTACAAGTTGGACAAGGACCAATAATGAAAGTACTGTAACTGTAGCTATACCACTACGTCTACTGTACACTGTTATGTCCCATCACCAAATCTTTTCCTTTCACACTCAACGCTCTTTTTCCTCAATCCCTAAATATTCCTACTTACGCACTTCTTTTTCTTTTAATTTTTACTTTTTTCTTAATTACTATGCTAACACCTTATCCCTATTTCCAATTCTACCGCTTTATAATCCTTAAATTATTTATTATTTAAGCTCAATTTTTATTTTTTAATATTTAAGTTTCACTAAATAATGCAAAAATTAAGGTCAATTGTTGGAGTGATGTATTTTAAGAAATGATACTAATAAATGGTTATACAAATACTTAGATAATTACGTCTGACATCGTCAATCATATAAAGTTAAATAATTTTTATAAATCCTTAAAAAATAATTGTTTTTTTTCTATTAGACAAACTATATAAGCTATAACGTTTATAACCTTAATACCATTCGTGCTCAATCCCTTCTTATGTAAGCGATTTGATCATTCATCAAAGCTCGTGATTTGTAATCTATTTGATTATTGACGATGATAAAATTTGTAACTTATTTTTTGAAATTAATTATAAAGAAATAATTTTGAGTGAATATTTTAAGAAGGTGAAAACTGGTTTTCATTATTCTCATTGTGTGATTCAACTCTAGGATTTTCAAAGACAAAGTTTATTAAAGTATTTGTTTTAAAAAAATTCCCAGTTTAAATAAAACCGACGTATACGTGGACTTTCTTTTCTTTTTAAATTCAGTGGTTTTAATTATTACTTGTTTTGGAAAAGTTGTGTGAAGAAGCATCATCCTCCATTTATTATCGAGGAAAAAAAATGAAGAAATAATGAAAGGTTTGGAATATGTTGACAATAATTCGAAGAAAGTTGACATGGGCGTGGTATAATAAAATTGATGGAAAAAATTACCGTAAAAGTGAAGTAGGAGAAGTTTGATTGGGAAAACAGACCAATTTGCTACCTTAAATAAAATGAAGAAAAAAAGAACCTTACGAGTGTTTGTCTGTATTCAAGTATTAAAGGGAAGAAAAGTAGAAACTTTTTATTGTAACATATAAATAGTATTTAAAAAATATTAAAGAAAAAATTATAATAGTGGAAAGTTATTTATTAATTTTGACGTATTAATTATACTGACACCTTAAAATTCACTTAATATTTCTCATCAAATTATTTATAAATTTCAAGTTGTTAGTTAATACTTGAATAAGTTTCAATTTTACGAAATAATTACGGAATAAGTTTCAATTTTAGTTAATAAGACTGTGTAAATAACGTATGATTCACACTTATTTTACACAGAAGTAAAACAGACACTTGCATTTTTTAACATAAATCATTAAAATCAAACTATAAACTAAAAGTGTTCAAAGACCTTCATCGTTGTATTATCTCCTTTGCATGGGAGAAGTATGGAAGAGAAGTGAGAAAGATTTTATTGTATTACATAAAATAATATTTGATAATAAATTTTGAAATATTGAAAGAAAATAAGAAATATATTATGGACTTTGATTAAATAATCTTAAGAAACAAATTTTGAGAACTCAACTAACAGATTTTTTATGTATTTTTATAGCTGTATCAGGTAACAAATTTCCATATATTTAATAATTAATTATTTTTTATTATAACGGTTACAAATCATTTATCTGTCTAATGAAATTATAAGGTATATATCTATACAATAGAAAAAGTAAATATATAATATTGATTTATTTTTTCTCTGAATGTGCCTGATTCTGTAGAAAATAACTGGTTACTTTTCTTGGATCCCATTTGAACTTTCAAACCTCATCCCCCACCTCTCAGACCAACTATTCGTTAAAAGCACTCCTTGTCAAATTAGCTTCTTCTTCACCGCCATGGTCAATGCTTCTATGTTTGAACTTTAATTTTCATGAAACTTTTAGAGAGAATTCATATGCAATATGAGACACAAACTCAATCCAAATATATAAAATAAATGAAATTTAAACTCATTTGAATTTTTAATAATTTCTTTAATACTTCTATAATTTTTATTGAGTGGAAGTTTTTCCAATCACGAGTATTATAGGTCTTTCAAAAAATATTGACCTCATTTCAAAAGTAAAAAATCTTAAGACAAAAAATTTAAACATTTTTTATTTTATTTTTTATCTAATATGAAACTTTAACTCGTACTTATATTTCCAGCATAATTTTATATTTAATGCATTATTGGTTCTTTCATGTTTAATTCATAGTAAAAAAAAAAACTTGTTTCAAATTAAGTTTGTTTGTATAGTTAGAATGTCTTCGTTCCAGACACTATTTGTCTTTGACATTAACATGAGAGTGCGTTAATGACATCACTGTTTATAACTGTCTGTTAATTACAGTTTAGGTTGCTTCTATTCTGCCTTAATCTTGTATATATTTGAATAGGTGAGATTCAATGAAGTCCTGTGATTTAAGAAAAAAAAAATATTATATAGACGTTAACGGTACTTAAAATTGCAATGAAATAAATATACTTTTTAAAATAATAATGTCCTTTCTGCACAAAAGGTTTACGATTAATTGAAAATTCTGATCTTAATTATAATATATAGGGTACTTATGTAGTCGATAAGTCAATTTCATACAACAACTCTCTCTCTAAAGGAACGACCACTGGCATAGTAATTGCATGGTTTATATTATTTTAATTGAATAAATGTTTTAAATATAAGTATACAAGGTTTTAACTTTTGTTGACTAAAAAGGAAAATTTAGCAGGCTGTATAAATTAAGGGTAAAAGAAATGTTGTTTTTTCTTTGGTAGGGAAGATATTGCCATATTTATAAATTCCCACCGGTGAAATTAATATGTATTAAAACATGGATACCGAACGAAAAAGGAACTAAGCAATTTCAACCAATCACGTGGTGGGTAGGAATACGGGGTTAGATAACATCATATGGAACTTAAGTAGGTACGTAATATTCAAATTTAACAATAATGTATTCATAATGTAAAATATTTTGTATTATAAATTATTGGTTTTATGATAATCGCTTTAAAATAATATTTTTATTAATTGATCTATAAAATACTTATGTTGTACACAAAATATAAACTCTAAAAGAGAACAATAACATGCCATGCTTTGTTTTATTCAACATTTAATTTCTCTCATCATAAGGGCCAAAATTGGCAATATAATTCGCTACTCTCACGACCTTTTTCAAGTCATGGGACAAATGAATCATCCCAAAATTATTTATTTTATTTTGGCAGGTTCCAAAGCTGTGGTTTAGTAAAATATAGGTGAGGAGATAATTAACAAAATTTCATTTAACTATGTTCTCTAACTATACTTAGAGAATATCATATTCACTCTTATACTCATTATTTCTTATTTACAAAATTATAATTTTCTTTTTGAGTATGATGTGAAAGAGTGAATATTATTGTGTTTTTTAACCTTTAAGAATAGAAGTTAATATTTTTCTAGTTAATCAAATATTGTTACTTGTCTAAAGATTTATAGTAAAAAGTTGTTTGATAGGATATTATCACTTGTCTAAACAATTTTTAAATGTACATATTGATTACCTATTCGATAAAAATTGCGAGAAGTGTGACCTCCTTATCCATACAACAAAACATTTACTCTTGAAAACTTGAAATACTGTAAAAAGTCTGTTTGATAGGATATTAATTATAATTTGATGAAATATAAAGAGGAAAGCTATGAAAATATGAAGTTATATGAGGAGGAAGAGGGGAATTTTAAAAGAGGATATGGTTTCACATCTAAAGAGATAACTGACTATCAACATAAGACACTGTATCTTCCTTACCTCATGATTATCAAAGTTGGGTCACTGCATTGTCAAAATCAATGCACCTGCATTTAGATTTTGCAAATGGTCCAACTTTATCTTAAATAAAGTATTCTACCCCCACAGCATGACAATGTTATCCAAATATTCAATTCATTCTCATACCTAGTACCCCTAAACCTACCTTAATCTGAGGTTTTTTCCCAACCAGTTTCGAAAATATTATCTAACAGTATACAAACTTCTAGAGCGGAAATGTTTTTGTACGTTTATTTTTTATAACGTTTAGAATTCGAGTTTAATTAAATTCTTAAAAAGAGTTCGGGTTTGTTTATATTTATTTTCAAGACAAAAATTATATACTTTTTTAGAATTGTTTTTTTTATTTACTCGTTCGTAAGAATAATTACGACCGAAGGAACGAAGCATACAATCTGTAAGAAATTGCTCTAAGATTTATTTTTAAATTAAATATCTGTTTAATGCTTTTTTTTTGTCGTATAATACTCAATTGAATTGAAAAGAATGGGAGAACATTTTTACAAACAAACACTTAAGTTATTTTTGAAAAATTGTTAACAACATTGACTAAAAAAATTCCACGTATCAAGATAAGCAAAACTTAAAATGATGAAGGGAAATGGATTGATGTCAGATCAAACACGCAAACACATACTAAGACGTAATCATTAGTATTTACAAATTATATTAACTATATCATTAGTTAATATAGGATTTTGTAGCGTGAAGTTTATAAAATCCGATATATGTAAGTAATTAAACAGTAACTGAATAACAAACGGTTAATCAATTCAATAAATTCGGTAGTAATAATAATTTAAATAAATCCTAATACTGTTAAAAAACGCCTTTCTCTCTCTTTTGGAAGATTTTAAATACATTACAGGTGAATGTGAAATATTTAATCAACAATACATAAAAGATTAATCCATAATTAGGAATGGGAAAGGAAATGTAAATCTAAACTCTCCCTCGCAGGTTGTCTGAAAATGAAATGGTGGGCACGAAAAGTAATAATAATAAAAAGCAAAACTCTCTCTCCCCAGAAAAAATGCAACACTTGTACGCACTCTCACTCATAAAAGGACGCCCAAAAATAATGGCGGTTGCGTTGTGATTGATTGGAGTAGGGAGAGAGAAAGGAAAAGAGGAGGGTAAAGCTATAGTAGTAGCATGGCCACCAAGTTAGAAGTAGAGTAGTAGTAGTAGTATAGCTTGAACATGACCATGACCACAATCCGTAACCATAAAAATAAAGCACAAACACAACCACTGCTACTTCCCATTTTTTCATTACCGGAAATGAAACGAGCCTAACGCTGACTCTCCATTTTCTACTCCTCACCCAACCTTCTTACCTCTCTGTCTATCACTCTTCCCTTAAGCTCTTTCTCTTCTTGGATTCGCCGCTCTTTTTCTGAGATCTACGTCTTTTCGGCTTCTTCCTTTCTTCCCCTTCATCCCTCTCGTTGCTCTTTCAGATTGTTGCTAAATTTGGCACTCAGACCACACGTGCGTTTCCCAGAGACTCTGTTCTGTGTAATGAGGACTTATGTTCAGGATTGCAACCTGGGGTGTTCGGGGTTGAAGAGAACCGGAATCGAATGAGACGTAAAACAATCGTCTTTGGTTGTCACTCTGGTTTTGGTTGAGTGTGTAAGGGTGGTAATCTTGTGGGTAATTACTGGATTTTGTTGGGTTTTAAGAGGTGTTATAAACTGGGACAAAGATCACTCAGAATGTTATTCTGCAGTGGGAAGGAAGGAGGAGAGGACAAGGCTTGGTTTGTGGTGGAAGTTGTTATTTTGTGAGAATTCTGTTGCCTAATTGGTAGTGTTGTGATTGTGGACTCAATTTTGAATTTACTGATTTGCCTGAGACTTTTTTAGCTCAAATGAGACTTTCTTCAGCCGGTTTTAGTCCTCCTCCCCAGGAAGGTAACCACTTTCTTCCTCCTCTTCTTCTCGTCTTTCTCCTCTCCGTCCTTCTCCTTCTTCTTCTTTTTCTTCTTCCAAATTTCATCTCTTCTTGGTTTTCACTTCTCAACTTTTCTGAAACTGGTTCTTGCAACCTTAAGTCCCTGGTGGATTAGAGTGTGTTTTTTGTGTTAATATGACTAGCCAAGCCAATGAAGTCTTTTGTATGTCTAACATGGCTGGTGCTAATGTTGGGGGGGGGGGGGGGGGGGGGGGGGGGGGGGGGGGGGTGGGGGGGGGGGTGGGGGGGTGGGGGGGGGGGGGGGGGGGGGGGGGGGGGGGGGGGGGGGGGGGATGGGGGGGGGGGGGGTGGGGGGGGGTGGGTGGTTTGTTTGGGGGTGGGGGGTTTGTGGGGGGGGGGAGGGGGTGGGGGGGGGGGGGTGGGGGGTTTTGGGGTTTGTTTTTTTTGTTTTTTTTGGTTTTTTGGTTTTGTTTTTTCTTTTCCCCCTTTCCCTCTTTGTTTTCTGTTTTTTTTCTCTTGTTTATTCACAGCTCAGAGATCAGAGAAAAAACGTAATTTGGTTTTTTGGGATTCGATTATTGGTATGAAGATCTTGGATTTGGCTTGAGTATGCCAAAATGAGTTTGTTGGTGTGGGCTCTTGATATTACTTCATGTTTGATGACATTGGGGTGGGTTTTGCAGGGGAAAGGCGAGTTCTAGATTCAGAACTTTGGCATGCATGTGCTGGTCCCCTTGTCTCTTTACCAGCAGTTGGTAGCCGCGTGGTATACTTTCCACAAGGTCACAGTGAACAAGTGAGTAAAATATATGATGTTTGATTATTGTATTGCTACTAGCCTTGTGGACATTGTGGTAACATTCTCTTACCGGTGTTGAGAATAAAGTAATAATGCGAATCTTGTGTTTCTGGGCATGAGGATGCTCTCTTGTCTCTTGTCTCTGTCTCCGTATTGCTTCTAATTTGGAGGATGGGGTGGGGTTTACTGTTACACTTTTGTTTAGCAAAACCTGTTTTTTCTTTCATTCTGGGGAACCATGTGTATATTTATGCTTAACTGGTGTTCCCAAGCTCAATTCTTTAGTCTTGAACTGTTGAAGGCTAATGAAGTAACTTCACTTACCTTCCAGAACCACCACATGAACCATCTCATTCAAAACTTTATCCTTTCTTTTCTGCATAAACTACGTGCACAAGTATATCCTAACTCTGCACTATTTTTGTTTGCTCAGGTGGCTGTGTCGACCAACAAGGAAGTGGATGCTCATATCCCAAACTACCCAAGCTTGCCTCCTCAACTCATTTGTCAACTTCATAACATGACTATGCATGTACGAATTGCTTGCTTGTTTTAGTGAGATGATTGGTTTGTTTTGGCCTTTGATTGCTTCAATTTTTACCTTGTTAGATCCTGCAGCCTCTTTGCCTTTATTATCTTTTTGTTTATTTGGGATTCAGGCTGATGCAGAGACTGACGAAGTGTATGCTCAGATGACCTTGCAACCTCTGAATCCTGTACATGACTCTGAAATCTCTATTGATAACTGGTTTTGGAGCTTTTAGAGTTGTGGTCATTCTTCAGCTTTTAACTATCTCTGTGTTTCAGCAAGAGCAAAAGGAGGCATACCTTCCAGCGGAATTGGGCACTCCTAGTAAACAGCCCACAAACTATTTCTGCAAAACTTTGACTGCAAGTGACACAAGCACCCATGGGGGATTCTCTGTACCACGCCGTGCAGCTGAAAAAGTGTTCCCTGCATTGGTAAGCCTTTGTGAAGAATAACATATTACGTGAAGTCAACCTATTTACTCGAATCTGGTAATTTTCTGGGTCTTATATTTAGTAGTTGTGATCTTGCAGGATTTTTCTCAGCAGCCTCCTGCTCAAGAATTAATTGCAAGGGATTTGCATGGTAATGAATGGAAATTCAGACATATCTTCCGCGGTGAGTTAAAAAGCACGGTTTCCGGCAACATAATTGCAAAAGTGTACTTTTCCTTTCAGTCCGAGACTTCTATATTCAGTTTTTGTGTACAATGTTTGAAGTTGGTTTTTATTTCTTTTCCTCTGTAGGCCAGCCCAAAAGGCATCTACTTACAACTGGGTGGAGTGTCTTTGTGAGTGCTAAAAGACTTGTTGCTGGTGATTCTGTGCTGTTTATCTGGCAAGTAATTTAATTGTTTCCTGCTCTCTAGAGACATGTGCTGCTATTTCTCTGAACAGCATTAATATTACTCTGCATCTTCACCTCGAAGTTTCTCATAAATTCAATCTTGACCTTTGGCTTTTTTGGCTCGTTGACTTTTACCCCCTGAACCAGGCCGTGTGACTTGCCTGTCATTTGGCCATTCTAAAGAACATATCATTATACTGAAAAGAAAAGTGAAAACATTTTCATTGACATGTGGGTCAGACTTTAAGATGTGTGGTTGCTTGTTATCTCTTATATCTGTTTACTTTATTAAGATAATGTGCGAGAAATGTTGACTTTGTTACTATTATATGATATGTTGTCTTGTGTAACATGCATTTTCTGGTATAGGAATGAAAAGAACCAGCTTCTACTTGGGATCCGTCGTGCTAATAGACCACAAACTGTGATGCCTTCATCAGTGTTGTCTAGTGATAGCATGCACTTGGGGCTTCTTGCTGCAGCAGCTCATGCAGCTGCAACAAATAGTCGGTTCACCATTTTCTATAATCCACGGTATAAGTTGTACACTTTTGCAGAACTTTAAAGTCATGGAAATGTTTGCTTTAATTGACTATTTTTTTTCTCCTTATAATTTCAGTGCTAGCCCATCAGAATTTGTCATACCCTTAGCGAAATATGTTAAAGCTGTGTATCATACTCGAGTTTCAGTTGGTATGAGGTTCAGGATGCTGTTTGAAACTGAGGAATCAAGTGTACGACGGTAGGTTTTTAGAACTTTCATTTCTTCGAGGAAGCATACGATCGGGGACCTGGATATTTTTAAGATTTATAATGACCTAAAGAATGATAATGATATTACAAAGATGAAGCATAAATATTAGATTTTTGACTTTCAAGTGTACTTGCTCTATACTTCAATTCATTAAAAAAATGTGAGGTCTTTTATAATGTGTGCAAAAACGTGCCTATGATGTGATGTTGTGTAACAGTATTTGTATCATATTTATCTTGGCTAGCCAAACATTGGCAAACGCTACTCTAAATTATAATGTTTACAATGAAATGAATGAGATGTGCGTTTCATTGTATGCTTGATCAAACCTCTGATCCTTAGTAAGGTTCTAATGAGTAAAGAATAAAAAAAACTTGAGTGTTTGGTTGAATAAATTTCTCATTGTCAGAAAAGATATGGCTAACCATTTAATAAAGTTTATAATACTTGTTTTTATTGTAATTATGTTTACTGTTGTATGTTTCTTGCGCAGATACATGGGTACAATAACTGGCATTAGTGACCTGGATTCTGCCAGGTGGCCAAACTCACACTGGCGCTCAGTTAAGGTTTGTGAAGAAATACTGTGCTTTTTCATTCCAGCTTTCTTATTATACTGGCCTACATCTTTCATCTCAAGTGTAAGGCTTTGAGTTGGATTGCAGGTTGGTTGGGATGAATCTACTGCTGGAGAGAGACAACCTAGAGTGTCTCTATGGGAAATTGAGCCATTAACTACGTTTCCTATGTATCCATCTCCATTCCCCCTTAGGCTTAAACGACAATGGCCTCCTGGACTTCCTTCATTCCATGGTGAGCTTCTTGCCCCTACCTGGGGAGGGGACTGAAATTCTCCACCTTTTTTTTTTTAAAATAAAATCCTAGCTAATTAATTTCATAGACTTTCGTTTATGTGTGGATGGAAACTCATTCTCCTTGCTCTCCCGATTTTTCTTGCTTAAAATGATGGCAGGCATGAAGGATGATGATTTTGGCCTGAATTCATCTCTCTTGTGGCTCCGAGATGGTGATAGGGGGCTTCAGTCTCCTACTTTTCAGGGAATTGGTGTTAATCCTTGGATGCAGCCTAGATTTGATCCCTCCATGTTGAATATGCAAACAGATATGTATCAAGCTGCTGCTGCTGTTCAGGAGATGAGGGCTTTGGATCCTTCCAAACAGCATTCTGCTTCCATACTTCAATTTCAACATCAACAACAGCAGAATTTCCCAAACAGGACAGCTGCTTTTGTGCAGGCCCAGATGTCGCAGCAGCCACAACATCAGCAGATTTTTGGAAATAATCAAGAGAATCAACATTCACCACAATCTCAGCTGCAAACTCAGGCTCATCTTCAGCAACATTTACAACATCAGCACTCATTCAATAGTCAGCATCATCATCAGCACCAGCAACAACTACGACAGACACAGCAGCAACAACAACAGCAACAAGTAGTAGATAATCAGCAAATTTCAAGTGCAGTTTCTTCAATGTCTCAGTTTGTTTCAGCTCCTCCACCTCAATCACCACCTATGCAAGCTATCTCTTCCTTGTGCCAACAGCAAAATTTTTCTGATTCGAATGGGAACTCTGGGCCTACTATTGTTTCTCCCCTTCACAGTATCTTGGGTTCATTTCCACAGGATGAAACAGCTCACCTACTGAACCTTCCCAGAACAAGCTCTTGGATTCCTGTTCAAAATTCAACTGGGTGGCCTTCAAAGCGTGTTGCGGTGGATCCTCTTCTTTCTGCTGGAGTCTCTCAGTGTGTTCTACCTCAGGTGGAGCAGCTAGGGCAGCCCCAGAGTACTGTGTCTCAAAATGCTATTACTTTACCCCCTTTTCCTGGTAGGGAGTGCTCCATAGACCAAGAAGGGAGCAATGATCCTCAAAATCATCTCTTATTTGGTGTTAATATAGATTCATCATCCCTTCTCATGCCTAATGGAATGTCAACCCTTAAGGGGGTTAGCAGCAACAATGACTCCTCAACCATGCCATATCAATCTTCTAATTATCTGACTACCGCCACAGGGACTGATTCTTCATTGAATCATGGAATAACGCCCAGTATTGGCGGTGAATCAGGTTACCTGCAGAGTCCAGAAAATGCTGGACAAGGAAACCCGCTGAACAAAACCTTTGTGAAGGTAAGCTTTTCCAGCAGGATTATATCTTTTTAAACAGTAGAAATTGGTTATTATTCATGACTTACATACATTTTTACTTAACTTTTTGGGTACAGGTTTATAAGTCAGGGTCCTTTGGAAGGTCACTGGATATCACTAAATTCAGCAGCTACCATGAGCTGCGAAGTGAACTTGCACAAATGTTTGGCCTTGAAGGCGAGTTGGAGGACCCTGTGAGATCAGGCTGGCAGCTTGTATTTGTAGACCGAGAGAACGATGTTCTTCTCCTCGGTGATGGCCCCTGGCCGTAAGTCTCCTATACTTAACATGCCTTATTCTTTGTTTTTCTTCCTTTTACCTATGAACACTGCACGTTTTGAAAAGTAGAGAAAGTGAGGGACTTGTTATAAATAATATGGTAGTTTTTGTATGAAGTATGAACTAATCCTTTTTATATTATGAAATAGTATAAACTTGCATTAAATTGCTTTTTAGCCTTTCACATGGTGATGACATTTTTATGTTGTGGATTTAAGAATCTTTATTTTTTCTAAATCAAATGATGGAGCCCTTTTTTCTGTTCATATTTGACGCATGGCTGATGTTATGACAGGGAATTCGTAAATAGTGTATGGTGCATAAAGATACTTTCTCCTCAGGAAGTGCAGCAAATGGGGAACTCCGGCCTTGAGCTCTTGAACTCGGTTCCAATTCAAAGGCTCTCTAATGGCATCTGTGATGACTATGTGAGCCGTCAAGACCCAAGAAATTTAAGCACTGGAATAACAGCTGTGGGGTCTTTAGACTACTGAAATCATGTGACTGTTAATAGTCTGCACTTCTTCTATCAAATGTAATATTATTACCCTTACTTCTCAACCCTTGTACGGTGAGAAGCAGTTGCTTAAATGTAGTTTATATAGCCTACAGCCTTTGGATTTTGTTTTCCTGTTTTTTCTGCTAGGACCATTCATAAACTAATACTTTAACTATATGGCATCTAGTCATTGTGCTAGCTACAATATATACGATACTTAATCCGTTAGGAAATCAATGCCTTGGATAGTCCTCTTAGCTTGTACGGTTCTTTTTAGTTTGGATTTGGCTAAATGTTTGGGGTGCATTATGGAGCACAGTGGGCAATGGAGTGGAGGTGATGTTGAACTTGTTGTCACCTTTAATGAGTTTTGGTTGAAATGTTTGGTAGAATCTATTATGATGTAGGAAAGATATTCAATTAAGAGGTGCAGATGGCACTGGTGATGATGTTGGAGTACTTGACTTGGTTGAGTGATGGATAAACGCATTTGGGAAAAGGAGGTTGTGTGACCCTTAGAACATGAAGAGGACACCAAAGCCATGTGATGTGTCTCTCTGATCATACAGGGATGGAAAACAAATCACCATGTCCTTCTATTAATGTTAAAGTGGCCCGCTTTGTCGTGTTCTTGGTTTTGGACATGCACCCTTTCACCTCCTCTTAATGTTTTTGCCTCATCAATCGCAAAGTGAAAAAGCTGTGTGCATTTGTCCATTTCGATCTTGCTTAATCAGGCCTCTTTTCATGCTCTACTGTCCCAAGTGTTTGGAATATTGTCTAAGTTCGTGTTTCATGGAAAACATGCATAAATGACGTTACCTCCTTAATACCTGTTACTATAATTTCAACTTATCGGGACAATCATTGTTACGATTGTAAAAATTAACCAGCAGAGAAATTAATTAATTAGTAATTTCTGCCAATTGATTAAGGAACATATATGTAAGTCTATTCTTAATTTTGTTTCACTTATCTTTCTCTTTATTATGTTTGGTACAAAAGTGGCCTAAAATTTAATGAATAGCCGGGCCCACTTAAACATACCATACGGTGTTATCGTATGCTTATATTTAACGTGGATATAAGATTAGAAAATTCTTACGAGATTTATATACCTTAATAACTTGATTTTTAAAATGTATATTGTGCAACGTAAAGTAAATATCCCCTTTCACAAATGCAAAAACCATGTAATGCACGAAGTCAACACGAACAACAAACAGATTGGTAATTTTAAAGAGTGTAACTGTTCAGCTTTTTAACCTTGCTTAGTATTAAACAAATATATTCATTATTGTTTTCAGTGATATCTTATTTTAATTACTTTTATCCCAAATCCAAAACTCTTTTTGCTAATATACTGGACAGAATTTTACCCGAACCCATGAAATTCATTTGGTTATACGTAATAAATACAATTACATATATATGTATGTTAATGATTGAGATTGATAGAATTGAAAAAAAAAATTACATGGGATCCGTATCCTTTTCGAGCTATATAGTACACAGCGAAATCTGTTTGCATAATAAAGTTTCCATTTTACACGAGATCGGAACAAAATCGAGAGTACAGTGACCAAAATTTTACATACGAGAGAAATTATTCTTTAATGCGAACATGTCCTTACAGATATGTTGGGGGAAAAAATAAAATCTCAGAACGTGTTGATGTCGGCAGATATGACAGTGAGAAGAAGATAACTTCATTCTGATGCCGTACAGTGGCATAATTGATTTAATGATTTTAGGTTGCAGTCATATTTTTGTTTTTAAAAAAATGTTGAAAAGAAATAAAGTTTAGAATGAATGGAAGGCGTGAAGAAGAAGAAGAAGAAGAAGAGGAGCTTTTTGAAGTTTTGGAAGTGGGTGAATAGCTAGGTTCCCGAAGTGGGAAATGGGTGATTAAAGAAGTTGGAGTTGAGTGTTGGTTAGTACTATTTGTTTTTGTGCATGCGTGTGTGGGGCTGTGTTATTTGTAGGACCTTTTTTCTGGGTATGGAATGGTGACCAGGTAGGGCACTATCCTCAATAATAATACCATGCCATCCCACCCCAACCACCCCAACCCTACCTTTTCTTTTTTATTTATTAAATTTTTTATTTCTCTAGTTTTTCTCCATTCTTCAACTCACCCTCTTTTCTTTTTTTGTTTCTTCCCACTCACTCCACTCTCTGCTTCCCTTATGTCACTCACAATATGACCAAAAACGTTTCTACCAACACGTGCACACACCTTTCTCATCAATTTTCCCTTAACCATCATACAAACTCCCATATTCTATTACTTATCTAAAAAAGTTTCAGCTTGTGTTTATCTTGAGTTGTTCTGATGAGAGTGACTAAACTATAGGGAATTGCCAATCTTCAAAAGTATTGGGGTAATATGTAACGAGTGTTGTGTACGAGAGGTACGAAATTTGGGTACGGAGGTTGGGTTTTCTGTAGCTTAATTAACTACCAATAATTTCCCATTGCTCTCTCATTGGAGGCCGGAACATGTTGGTTTCTTTCGGAATGTCAGGTAATGTGTACTACAAACAGATACAATTTCGGAATCATTAAAAAAAAAACAAGTTAGTCCCAAAACTATTTTTGTTTTTATAAATATTATAGATAATTAGTTATTTATCTTAATAATTATTAAAGAAATTACACTGAACTATCAAGTTTTTTCTGTTATGGTCTGTATACTTGAGTGCATGATGTCCCCGTTTCATGTGCGATTGTGTTTTAAAACTCTGTAAATTGTTTTTTACACCTCTATAAATGATTTATGCAATTTATTATTGTTGTAAAAAAATCCATTACAAAGTGGGAATTCCAGGATTTATAATCCAAAATTAATAATTGATTATTCTAGACTGTTCTTTCACACAGTAAGATTTTACAAAATAAAGTTTTCAAAACAATGAAAAATATATTTTCCAATGCACTTTCCAGAAAATAAATTATTATGAACATAAGTTTAGCGGCTCATTGAACTTAGCTCCATTTCTATATGCAAAGCTTATTGGGTAATTTGCTTTAGTTCAAAACTATGAAAACATTTTTCAGAGCATTCAAGACGCCTGGTTGGTAATGACATGGCAAATATTAAATGAAGAAGAGAAACTAACATAATTAAACTACACACACACACTAAAAAATAATTTTGGTTGTTTTAGAAAAATGCAAGAATCCATTGCAGAGATGTAAAATCTACTGTAGTCATGAACCTAATTTTATAAGGCCCCATTAGTCTTATAGCTGTGTGGGGTTCTTGGGCCACAATTCTAAGGAGAATTTGAGCTCCCAAAAACAAATCCTTGTCCACAAAAGATTTAAAGTGTAATAATGAAGAATCCCATCCCATTATTTTAGCTTATTGATATTTTATTCTTTTTTACACAAATTTGACTCATCTATCAAAAATTTTATGCTTTTAAAGTCTTTGAATTCTCGTGGTTATCCAAATATTCCAAGTTTAATGAATTTGAGGTATCACATAGTTTTGAAATTTTAAAAGAAGTTTGATGATGAAAATTTATAGTTAAAGATGGGAACATTAATTTTCTTTAGTTGCTAAAATTTGATGTTTTCATTGTAAAGTTTACAGTAAAAAACATTTGAAGCAACTTAATCCATTAAAATTTTAAATATATTGAGCAAAAATATAAGTTAAAAAATAATGAAAGTCAAAGTTGCCCAAATTTGAAACATTTAATTGACTAAAAGTATTAAAAGCTGAAAACTTAACATAATTCAAACTCTAAAATCCCGGATTGTAACTAAGCTCGAAAAATAATTTTAAGATCATGGGCTTGAAAAGAAGTGGAGCAGGCCAACGGGCCGAAACGCAATTTGGGCTTTGAGAGGAATGAGAGAGACTCTAGGGTTAGGGTTTATGAGGTGCCCTTCCATTAGTTTTACAATAGACAGCACATTTGGTTGCGCCTCTGTTCTCTGCCACCGCTGTGTCTATCGCAACCATGGTGATTCCTCATCCCCTATTCTCAATTATTTATCTATTTTCGTTGGTTTTTTAGTTTCAGTTAATGCCTCTGTTTTTAATGGAATCGAGTTTCTAAAGAAGGTTGGAAAACCTATTTCCGTCTCGAACGAAAATTGAGTGCAAAGAAGCTAGGTGGGGTTAGTGATAGTATAGCGTTATCGATTTTGATGGTGTGAGGATATAATTAGGTTTAATAATTGGTAATTATACTCTCATTCAAGGCTTTGGTTTTTCAAAGAGTTTTATCTCTCTCTAATTTCGACGTTGGTAATTATGCTTTGGCATCTGTATGCTTGGATGCGAGTAAACATTCAGTTAGGTTTCGGATCTAATTTTTTTCGGCTTACTAGTGGTTTTGGGATCAATTCATTTAGAGTTATCTGTTCATGCTTTGAAATTGCTGTTAATGCTTGTGTGGTACTTCCTATGCAGCCTAAGCAAATTCACGAGATTAAGGACTTTCTTCTCACAGCCAGAAGGAAGGATGCGAGGTCGGTGAAGATTAAGAGGAGCAGAGATGTGGTTAAGTTCAAGGTTAGATGCTCCAAGTACCTCTACACACTCTGTGTGTTTGATCCAGAGAAAGCTGATAAATTGAAGCAATCACTTCCTCCAGGTTAGTAATGGAATTTGTAGTTTGTGATTGTATGTTTATCATAGTGTGGAGTACCCAGCTTTGACACAATGCCAATTGTGTTATATCCATGACGAATTGCGTAGTATTTGGCTGAGGGAACATGCATTTCTATGAACAACTATATTTTGAACTGGTTAATTGTGAGCAAGTTTTATATGCTTGTATGGGCGCTTATGTTCTTTTTTATTATTTTAGTTCGTGTTGTATGATCTAGGTCGTATATTGCCGTGCAACTTATTTTTCTGTTGACGATTTTCAGGTTTGAGTGTTCAAGACCTGTAAAGGAAGCGTCTGAGAGATATATCAATGAGAAGATCTTCTTTGATTTTTCTCTTAAGTTTATTTCTCTGTAATTGGAGCTTGAGATTTTGTGAGTTTGTCTTTTATATTTAGAACGATGATAGGACTTGATTGTTTGGAGTTGTTTTGGCAAATGAAACTTTAATTATGTCTAATGGAATATTTTTTTGCTATGCAGCTATATGTATGGATTTATTGTCTGTTTTATTTTTACTTTGTTTTCAGTCAGGCTTATATATATATATATATATATATATATATATATTCCTTTTTTCTATAAACTAATTTCAGTCTTTAGAATAT